ACAGAGCCGGCTTCCTCTCCGGTTGCTCCGTTTACCGCGTTAATTTGGCCCGCAGCTTTAACAGAATTCGGTGCAATATCAAGGATATTCGCACCCATCGACTTAGCCCAGCCCTGGCGCACCCCCCGAGCGTGCCACTCACCGGAGGCGGCTCACTGAAGTTCCCCACAGAGCGAAATGAAGGCTCCCCACTCAGAGAGCCAAGCGCGCCCACGCCTCACCCCGGGCACGCCAAGCCAACTCAGGGCTTGCATTTTTGTGCAACGCCGAGATTTTGGAGGCAGGGCGGGAGGAATGATGGATGGATTCGCAGCTCCGGGACAGGCTTTGACACTAGCGGGGCACATGCCCCGTTCTCCCCCCCGCCCCCCGCCCGCAAACTCAAACTAAAATCTGGGGCCCTCCCCACTTACCGGCTTCGGCGGAGAGCTGGGCACCGCTCTGTTACGTGCAGGAGGCCGAGCCTCTGAGCTCCCATTCCAGGAGGACCCCAGCAGTAAAGAGCACCATCTTTGGAGTCGTGGAAGCGCGCCCCCTGCAGGCCTCGGTGGGAAGAGAACAAAGACGGTGAGGTAGATGTCTATGGATGTTCTCAGTCATTCAGGTCACGGTTGTCCTAAAGGTGCTTTTTTTCCAGGAGGCAACTAGACTTTCTGGTTTTTCTTTGAAGACATTTCGCTTCTCATCCAAGAAGCTTCTTCAGCTCTTGTGATTGTGTTAGTTGTGCCTTCTTTATAAATTCTGTGACCTGTTCCAATACTTCAGTTGGTACAAGTGATTTCAGCTCTTGAGAGTTTGTGTTCCACTCTCTTTTTCAAAACCTCAATTGTAAAATCAGCCTGTCTTATTCTTTCATTGAGAAGTTGGATCTGTGTTTTCTTCCCTGTGTCCCTTCACTGTTGAACACAGGCTGCATCTCAAACTGAAGTGCAAATGGTTCCTCTAGTCTGCAATTTTTCTGGAAATTAGTTCACGCTCCCGCACCATTCGAAAGTTGTTCATTGCAAAGTGCATCGCTAAATATCTGTGGAGATTCTCAGTCATCCAGGTCATGGTTGTCCCAAAGATGCTTTTTTTCAACAGGCAACTGGACTTTCTGGTTTTTCTATGAAGACGCTTCTTGGATGAGAAGAGAAACATCTTCAAAGAAAAATCAGAAAGTCCAGTTGCCTCTTGAAAAAAAATCATCTTTGGGACAGGTGAGGAGGTAGTATTCCAGATGTAAACCTGGATTTTATTATCTGAAAATCATATGGCGATAAATGTGGCGACCCGGTTAATGTATTGGTAATCCTCAACTTACAAACACAATTGGGATTGGAACTTCTGTTTCTAAGTAAGATGGTTGTTAAATGAGTCATTCCCAATTTTAGAACCTTTTTTGCCACAATCGTTTAGCAAATTCAGCTTTCCCCAGACTTTTCTCATCAGAAGCCCTCTGGGAAGATTGCAAATTGTGACTACATTATCCTGTGGCATTGTAAATATAAAAATATACTGGTGGCCACACACCAAATTTTGATCATAGGGAATATGATACTTTACTGTAATACTTATGAATATCACTCATGTTTTTTCCAGTGCTGTCACAATCCTGATCACTAAACAGTCAAGGATTATAACTTAACCACTCCTATTATTCTTGTTACTGTTTCTAGTATTCTTTAAGTTAGTATTATTTCAACCATTGATTTCACTCTGACACTACCTTCCATCCAACTCCCCTCCTCACATATTATGAGTTGAATGGAAGTAGAATTGAGAAAGTTTTAGTCATACTCCACTTTTATGAAATTAGGGGAATGGAGGGCAGAGGGCACTGTTGCTCAGCTGCTGCTGCTTTGGGTTTGTGGAGGACCCGCTCCTTAAAATTAAGACTTGCTCTATCTCAGTAGCTTCAGGAAGACAGAACATTTTAGAGCATTCCAAGAATTTTTTTTTAGCAAATTTAGATACTCATTGATCATTGATTTGTTTTACCTAAAGCTATGTCTAGTGATATATTTCTTGGTACTTTCAGTTTATCCTAGCATTGCTAGAATTTTGATCAATTACTAGTAATTGCTTTATATTAACACACATAACTTTTTAAATCCATGATAAACTTCTGTGAAACTGTAGTGACTTGGAAACATACAAATTAAATAAAGTCTGGATTGGCTGTGCTTTCCTTTTGATAACCAGTGATTGCTTCAATCTTGGCAAGAATTTCGCATTAATGTACATTCATCTTTTGTATTCATGCAATGTTTGTCAAAATTGTAAATCTTTCAGCTTGAGTTTGATCATGACTTCATGAATGTATTCATGTATTTTTTTTGCAACAACATGGAAATGATTTGCTACGGCTACCTTCCCAGATTGTTTTGACTTTCCAATTTCTGACATAGCCTTGGCCTACTTAGACAAGCCAAGATCTACAGTAGATAGCATCAATAATTCTTAGTAATTAATCATAATAGATGTGTGCTTATTTAATAGTGTATTAGTAAATTATTCAGAGCATCAAGGCACAGGAAGCATGCAAAACACGGCTGCTGAAAATTAATTCTGATCTTCACCAGAATGACCACTGGATACATCTTTATTTTCTTCTGTTTAATGAAGCATGTTCATTCTCTTTCCTTGAGACTAATTGGGGCAGGCACGTGTGTTGTGCTTATCTTTCTGCTCTTCTATCATGTTGTGTGTGCATTGGTTGGGCCACATATGATTTGGTCTATGTAACATGAATAGGAGGGAAATGTGGTGAGAGATTTAAAATGGATCAGTGCAAAAATCTGTGTCCCTCATAGAAAGCTTAGAACATTATTATTTTTCCTGGAATGTTTTGTTTTCCAAGCCCAGCCCATTTCCAAAGTCAAGCTTTTGTTTGCAAATATTTCCTATCACACCAACTTTGGTCCCATTATGTCCTAGACACTTATTTTGCAAGCAGAAATTCCAAGGCCTTACATTATTGATAGGATTGGAAAAAATAAAAATCACTCTTTGGTTTCAGATCATTCTTGCCTCAACTGTGCATTATCTTAGATGGTGCCTGTTGCTTTTGTAACTAGTTGTAGTAAATCTGCTGCCCAATAAATAGAGGCACCTTTGTAGTTATCAAAATGGCCACAAAGGGGGTATTTCTAATGAATTATATCAATAACTCAAAAAAGCTTTAAAAATCCATGGAATTCAATGCCAATTGAAGGTATAAGTAAATAAATCTGGATACCTGATTGGGATTTAATAACAACCAAGCCTAACATTTAAACAGGCATTATTAAAGACATAAACTTTACACATTTCCCCCACTTTGTTTCATTTTGGAAAGCTAATATTATTGGTTATTGTAAACAGCACCATCTTGTGGCAAAATATATACTAGTAATAAGATACTTCATAATTATATGACTTTTAAGTTTTTAGAGTAAGATTAGGAAAATATACCATTATATTTCACATATGACAATATTGCTATGATGTTCATGTATATTTAAGACTCTTTATAGTAATGATGACTTATCATTCTGACTTGGAAAAAACATTTTATAGAAATCTAGAACTTTCATGTAACTTATTATTTTTGTTGCTGAGAAATATTTTGTAGTTTTTAATCTAACAATGGGTTATATTTCAACGAATGCTTGTCCTCTTCCACATTAAATATTACTAATATAGATCTTTCATAAACTGAAAAATATATTGAGTAGCTTTTTTGGAAATGTTTTAAATAGGAGGAAGAAACATCAATAATGTACTTTTTGATGATACAACTCTTAATTGAAAATGCAACAATCTGAAACCCCGAAAGTTAAGCACTTTGAAAAAATGGAATTAGAAAAAAAATGAAATACTTTCATTTCCCAAACTATGGACAGCCCTTACTCTATTTTTTTTTTTTAAAAAAAAGACCTGGTTTTTATCCAATAATTGAAGTCAGGATGCTGCTGATGATAAGAATTAATTTTATGCCGCCCAACTTTTGTTGGCATAATAATTATGAAATAATGTATCTATCAATTTCATATTTTTCAGAGCAAGTTTTAACCACTTTTTTGTTATTTTTGTTTTAATGAGATTCTCTATTTTCATTTTTTTCACGGCCCAGAGTTTCATAGATGGTTGGCCATATAAATTGGATAAAAATATCAAGAGCAAACTAATTACAATACTATACCAAGCAGTCTTATGCTGACAAAGTAGATAACTTATGCCTTTTAAGATCGGTTATCAACAGCAAAGATAAGAAATACACTGCAGACTAATACTAGAATAGCAATGAAGACCTTGGAAAAAATATTCAGGTGCTGCATGTATCTGTACCTACTAAGATTAGAATTGTGAAGGCAATGATTTTCCCTGTGATACTCTATGAAAGTGAAACAAGTCAGACAAATATTGACACTTTTGAACTTTCATGCTGGAGAAGATTCCTAGAAATGCCATGGATGGACAAGAAAACAAAAGGATTACTGAACAAATCAACATAGAATTTTCAAATGAGGCACAACAGGCTCAAATTAACTTTTTTTTGGACACATTGTAAAGAAAATCTAGTCTTCTAGAGAAATCAAATAATGCTGGGAAAGGTTAAAGAAAGAGGACAATCAACAACAAGGTAGATGGACTCAATTATAGCTGAAACACTTTGAAGGGCAGGATGGGGACAGGTCATTCTGGAAAAAAATCAACTATTTGTTGCTAAGAATTGATACTGATCTGATGGCACATAGAATTTCAGCAGCAGCAGCTTCTTCTAGTTCTTCAAAAGCAACAGACAGCACCTTTCATTTGCACTTTTGTAACTCTGGAGGGTCCTCCTGAACAAACAGACTCACCATTTCACTTCCAAGTTTATGGTGTAAATTCTCATTGGGTGATTTGTTAAAATGGCAACTTGCTACTAAGATAGTCTTTTTATTTCCAACTGATTAGTGAACATTTCTGATATCTACTGGCTGCACGTGTTAGGGTTTAATGCTCCTTATATAGTAAATACGAAAAAACATGGATGGAAGGGAAGGTAAAATACAGTTTAATTACAAAGATTGATTCCTATAAAATATAACATTTTCAGTTTCAGTTTTAGCGCTTCTTCCAGGTGAACTTTCTGCGGGCTCCTTCCTGGCCAGGCTTTTTCCGTTCTCTCACACGTGGATCAGAAGTGAGGAGACCAGCTGCAGGGAGATCAGGAAGAAATTTATACAATTTAATGAAATTAGGCACAGAGAAGGGTGGAGGGACTTAGTCATAAGAATTGAGGAAAGTCAAAGGGAGATCAGCATTTATCTTACATTTTAACCTAGATTTATAATATTTAGAGCAGGGGTGTCCAACCTTGGCAACTTTAAGACTTGTGGACTTCAACTCCCAGAATTCCTCAGCCAGC